GACGCTGGGACAGGGCACAGGTAGAGCTTTGCTACCTGTTGCTGCCGCGCCCTATCCTGGCGAGCAACGAACAAGTGGGACGCGCGTGGAATGATGGTTGAACAGAGTGGTTTGTGATGGTCAATGGTTCAAAACACCGACGGTAGGTTAACAACAATTCTCAATGACTGTAGGCTCACCGTCATGGCTAGTGGTTGAGAAAATCATCGCAATCAAGATGGCAAATTTCAACAAACCACCAATGAGGCTTGTAATTTGCAATAAATTCTATGGATGGTTTGCTGCTTTAGGATGTCTTTGGGTTTGACTCAGGGCTTCACTTCTTTAGGGTCTTTTTTTGGTTTTGCTTTGGGTTTCACTCCTTTAGGGTTTCTTGTGGTTGGGCCAGAAACCAGTCCCCAGAAACCACTTCCCGCCGCGCGACAACGTCAGCGCAGCAAAAAAGTGGTCTAGAAGGAAAAAGTAAGAGTGGTAGTAGAAAGAAAGCTCCAAAGCCGATGCCGGAAGGCGAAGCACAAAAATGGCATGCGTGTGTAAACCGCCTGTCTAAAGTAATGTCTGCTGTGGTGAGACGAAACTGAGCGTCCGGAACAGCTGCTCGTACCTCCTCCAATTCTTCTTCAACAACATCAAAGCACGAGGCGAGGCAGTGGACAGGAAGCCAAGGCTGGAAGAGACACAGTGGTACGCCTCTTCGAACTCTACCGGTAGCAGAGCCTGCGCAGTCAAAGCCGCTCTCACAATCCGTCGCCACAAACCGATGATAACAGTGGCGTGGCCTGCGCACCGCCAACTTGCACTATTTAGACTTGCGAAACACAAAAGCCTCCCGTATCGTCTTTTTGGGGGGGGCTGTAGAGGCGAGGTAGGTCAGCTAGGTTGGACAGTGTTGTCGTATGCCCAGAAACCACTTCCCAGAAACCAGTCCCCAGAAACCACTTCCCAGAAACCGGTTGCCAGAAACCACTTTCCCAGAAACCAGTCCCCAGAAACCACTTCCCAGAAACCGGTCTGCAGAAAACCAATTTCCAGCCAGAAGCCACTTCCCAGCCAGAAACCACTTCCCAGGAACCACTCCCCAGAAACCACTTCCCAGAAACCAGTCCCCAGAAACCACTTCCCAGAAACCGCCCACCAAAGACCATATGACCCGCGTTCTGAAACGATCCGAACGCGCGTTCCGAAACGAGCTGAATTCGCGTTCCAAAACGAATCGGAGGCCGGATCCGTCCCCTTTCTTCTTGACGCATAACCCTTCCTTTGCGATTAGCGACCCTTCTTCTTTCAATTGGATCCGTGAGCCTTCTGTTTTGACCTACATATCTCGTGAACGAGCACCTTCTACAGCCACGACTGCGTCAAGCATTATACAAAGACATCTGCTATACACTGAAGGGCGATTTTTTCGCAGGGCAGGAATGCGAACACATTGGATCTGTTTCTAGTAGACCTTGCCAACTCTCGGCAGCACTGCTACCGCGAGCCCTTCGGTGGAACTCTGTTTTCTGGTTTCCCCAATGGTGTCCACACACATGTCTAGTGCAAGGTGTCGAGCCAGCACCTTTCAAAAAGGGTGGACTTCATTGGGTGACTCACCAGCTGGCGCACGACTTTCTGCAAAGGAATCGCAGCCAAGGCTCGGTCGGAGTAGCACGAACTTGCGCAAACGCAGCTGGTAGCGACGATGTTGCCTCCAGTGCGCCGCGTTGGGACAGCTGCAATGGAGTCATGTGTCGTCAGTCTCGGCGCGATCGAACATTGGACGAAGCGTGGGTCGATCAAGGTGACACGGACTATAACTTTCGAGCAGACTTTGCCCCAACTGCATTCGGTTGCATCGATTGCGCCTACTGCTGCGCTTGCAAGGTTTCACGGCGACTACGCTTCGAGACGTTCCAAGGTTTGCCCCATTCCTCTTCGCTTGCCCTCTGTTCACCTAGACCTAGCAAAGATGCACCATACTCCGACGAACGCGCCCATTGCAACCCGGCCACTAAACGCTTTGGCCCTGGGGTGGCGCATACCGCGAGCTGCTTGGCATCGCCTTAGTGGTCGCGAAAGCGACAGAGGCGGCACGTGGAAGCGCTGGAACCCGCAACTGGGCGTCAACCCATGTCTGTCCATGCGATTGCAGGGTGTCGGACAAAGCTCGTCTTCAAAGCTCGTTCGTCCGACTCTATGATTGGATGCACAAGCGTTCAATTAGTTTGCCAGTGTGAGCAGTCACAAGAGGGTAGGTACAATCGCAGGGACAAGTTTCCCAGTGCAACCCAGGCACCAAAGGCTTTGTCCGTACTTGGGCCGAGCTCGGCTTTCGACTGGGCTTGCACTTTGGCGTCGCCTGGTCCGCGCGTTCTCCCACGATGCTGTGACACTCTAATGCCTTTTGGAAGACTGTCTCCACTGTCCACTAAGTGCAGACTGCCTGTAAACATCAGACACAAAGCCCGGCTCCATTCTCCGCATGTGCACACGTGTTGTAGAAGACACAGTTTCTCACACCGACCCTTGTTGCACATCAAGCAGCACACAGCAAAGCCGTAGATCCCCTCATAGGTCCGCGAACCTCGCAATGGACGGCTGCCGTCGACTTGGCTTGTCTACGACGTTCTCTCTTCCATGGCTGCACCATGCAACCTTGCAATACTCTGCAGCATGTCTGGGTGTCATGCTTGGGAACCACCTAACTTAACCACAGGCCGCTGCAACCGAAGCGCAGGCAGCTTCTGCTTCTTTGCTTCTTTCTTTCTACGCTCATCTGGTGCCTCAGATTGTGACAGTCCCATACAGGCAAAGACCTTCATTGGAATCCAAAACTCAAACTTCCCCGGATACTCTTCCATGTCTGTGGGTACAGTGCCTTGCCCTCCACACTCGCAGACTCTAAGACTCTTGCATGCCAAAAGTGTGGCTGCCCGCAAGGCCTTGACAAACTCTATGTTGGTTGGCCAGTGCTAATTACATGTCATTCCTGCAGTCACGTCCCTCAATTTGCGCTGCTACGGCGCGAGTCCATGCAACCTGGTTCGCGGGCTTCAGAGTACTTACATAACGCTGCTCGCACCATCCACGCACACTTTTAACCAGGTCCGTGGTGGGTCAAACAAAAAGTGTTGCGGGGTCAAAGACAACAGCAGGAACGTGGGTCAGAAGAAAAAGGTTGGTGGTCAAAAAAGAAGGGTCGTGGGTCAAAGGAATGGGTTGCGGGAGTCAAAATACAGAACGTGGGTCAAAAAGAAAGGGTTGCGGGGTCAAAGAAAACAGGACCGTGGGTGAGAAAAAAAGGGTTCGGTGGTCAAAAAAGAAGGGTCGTGGGTCAAAAAGAAAAGGTTGCGGGGGTTAAAAAAAAGAACGTGGGTCAAAAAGAGAGGGTTGCGGGGGTCAAAAAAAAGGACCGTGGGTCAGAAAAAAAAGGGTTAGTCACAGAATGCTGGGGGGGGTCAAAAAAGAAGGGCTGTGGGTCAGAAAAGAATGGTTGTGGGTCAACAAAAGGGGAGCCCTCTGCTCTTTTTCTGCTCTGGGCGTGCGTTGAGGTGCCGGTGCCTTGCCTTTCCTTTCAACCTATTAGCGATGGCCTCCAACCTACTAGCCTCCAACCTAGTAGCGTCCTTTTAAACAGTTATAGTATGTTATAGTCATAGTTCAGTGAACCGTTCTACTATGTTCTACTCATCATTGGATGCAAGGGACCTGGGAGTCCTGGGACAACTTTCCTTGAGCCGATTTGACCCGTTCACATCCGTCACTTCTCAGATGTATACAGCCATTATACAGCAAAACGAAAAGAATGTTGGGAAGAATGTTCAGCGCAAAAAGATTGCAGAAAAAAGCAACCCCTACTTGTACCTTCCTATGTACACCCCACAAGATGAGAAAAAAAAAAAAGGATGGACATGCTGATGTGGCCAGGCTGTGCCCAGTGTAGGATCTGAAATGATCTGGATAGTTTGGCTGTGGGGAAGATGTTGAATCTCGAAGTCGGACACCACTGAAACCAAGGCGGCTACCACCGAACCACGGAAACCCTTTCGCCGCCTTTCCGTCCTTGGCGGCTTGCCTCACCTTTCGTAGCTGCTCCTTCTTCGTCTCTTCCTGCCGGCTGAGAGACCGGGTGCGTTGGGCAGAAAGTCCGACCGACCTCCTGCGAGACATGTCACCGATCCACCAACCAGAAAGCTACCGCTAGCTAGCGACACCGGGAAAAAAAAGAAAAAAGAAACGGCACGACACCGGGGCCCAACAGCCTCAGGACATGTTGAATAATTTCAATGCTGTGTACGAACCTGAGTGCTCTCACAGTAGGGAATCCGATTTGATTCACAGTCCTTGACTGGAAGAGCTGCCTAGACTGGAACAGCTGCCGCCCAGTCCTTGTTCTTCTCCCGCTCTTCCAGTTCCTTTGCCAGTTTCTCCTGCCGAATTAAGTCCAAGTCCAATGAGTACGTGGCTCACGGCCGACAAAGTAGCAAATGCGCGGGAGGGGAAAGGAGAGAGGATCGCAAGGGGTGAGTCCAAGTCTGCAAAAGCACGAGCATATTGTTAGTTTCAACCGCGTTGCAGCACCGGTTGAAAGTTGAAATATGAGAGGCGTTTGCTCATGACTCATTACGGTGTCTTTTCTCTTGCGCTGCTCGTTGCTGCCTGTTTTACTCCTTATTTGCTGCTGCTCTGCACAAGACAAGACTTGCACCCAAACTGCGACGGCGCAGGGGGGATTTGATCCAGGGAGCGGGGGGGCCCCCTATGAAGAAGAATCCTTCCTTACAGGGCCAAACTCCATGCACAACCCCAGATTGTGATACAGTTTTGCAAGCTACCTTTCGTGACAAGGTGTAGCTCATCTCGTCTCCCAAAGGGGAAAGAACCATCGCATGCTCAGCCATGCTCGTCAACCCTCCTGCTGCCACCACCACCACCACTACTACTCAATGAAGACCCTCACCATCACCAATATACCCAACACCCACCAGTAGCCACTACTCATTGCTCTTGGCCCATGCCTAAGGGCCGGTGTCCTTGCGTTGCTTCTCCTGCTTTTTGTTCCGGAAGGGCACTGACGCAGGGTCCACCTCAGGGTCCAGCGGTGTCTCAGTTTTTTCCCGTTTTTTAGGATCAGTCGCACGTCTTCAAAAGTCCTCCAAACCGATATGCTGAGCACCAGCAAGCTCCAACAGGTCTCTGACATGGAGGTTCTCATGAACTAAAATCCCTGCTGGTGACCTGTTGGATGTCTGCATCCTCGGGGTCTGTGACCAAGCCTAAGCCCAAGCCCAAGGGGAAGCCCGGCACAGTTCCAGCCTCGCTTTGCTTGAAGCCACTGACTCGCTTGCCCAGGATCTCTTTGATGCGGGGTAAGCGCAACAAACAGTAGCCCGTTGCTAAATCTCCCAGGTCCAAATCCTTGAACGGAAAGAGGAATGGCAACTGGTGCTCCTCAGGGCTGTCTCTGGTATGGCTGCGAGGTGACTGTGTGAGATCTGAGCTGCGTTTGGTCTTTCCATGAAATTGCACAAGTAAGACTAAAGGATCCACCAGCAAATGTTCAACATGTTGGTATCGCTTACTTAGAGGGTTGTGATCTGTGCTCGTCATAGAAATGAGCTCAAATTGGTCAATTAGAGCATAGAAGTGGCGATGGTGAGGAGAATCCTGGGCCCTGAAGTCGCACCCAATCCAGCCTGATAGGCCCGCACGAAGGACAAAAAGGCCTTGGTGGACTTCAACATCACCGTGCGGTCCCGCTCAACCATGTGCTTGCACTTCTGCAGCGTGTTGGCCCCACTCTCCTCGCTAGAAAAGGCTTTCAGCTTGGAACAAATCGTTAGGCGGGGATGTCCAATCCAAAGTCTGAGGTGATGAAGATCTACTTAATTAATGTAAACGGTTGATTAATCCCACGCCCCACTTAGATTGTAAAACCTGGTCCACCTCACGCACACATAAAGGGTCTCACCCAGCCCTTATGTACAGTGTTGCCTGCATTCCACAGGTCAACAAGGGATTCTCCCAAGAAAAGGATCAGCACGAAATGAGATGTTAAAAATCCGTGTTGTGTTGTTGTATTTTCCAATTGACAATCTACATTACCATTAGTTGAGTGAGATGGGAAGCCCATCTTCATCGGAACTCTCCAAGAGCCAGAGCCCATTCCTTGGTTCTTGTAGAAAGCACGGGGTATGTTTGCATAAAACCTCACAAGATCATGAATCATGTCCATTTGAGATTTGCTAAGTCGCACTTTGTCAAGGTTCCAAAAAGAACAACATCAAGAAAAACCATGTTCAACGAGTTACACTAACAAACCCGCATTTCCGGGCATGCTGGATGTGATTTTCTCACAAACCAACCAACCGTTCAACCGACCAGCCAGCCAACCAACCAACCGACCAACCGACCAACCCAACCCAAACTAACCCAGCCCAACCCAAACCAAAGCAAGCATTCAACAGGTTCCCGGATCGCGTCTCCTGGTCTGCCGCGAGCTCCTCAGGAAGCTGCTCCAGTTGGATGCCACGCTTCTCCAAGAAGGGCAAATACCCATCCTCCAGCCCGCGGGTGGGAGGGAGGTGGGCTTTCTGTTGGTTGGGCGGTGGGCGGTTCTATTTTTGTTGGTGCACACTGTGGAGGGTTCTTTGGGGCGTGCAAACTGCGAAGGGCGCATGATGGCGGTGCTTGTTTTCCGGCAGAGTGGAAAGTACGGGGAAGCCGGTCCAAGAATGTCCCGGATGAGACCGTTTTAAGCAAAACTCTCCTCTGAACCCCAAAACCCCTTCTCATGCTGCTGGCACTTCGCCCTGTGCGCGCCGTTCGCTGCGCGGTCCTTTCGGCGATTCGATCGGGTCGATCGGGTCGGGCGGATCGATCCCTCGCCTCGTGCGGCAGGAGGAGCACCAGCGCCTTCCCGCTCTGCCCGGCGCGCGCCGTGCGGCCGATGCGGTGCACGAAGGCCGCGGGGTCCGTGGGCGGATCCACCTGGGAGGACGGTCAGGGGCGAAGAGTGGAGCTCGGTGGAGCTCGAAACAGGTCAAGGGGGAGAGAAGTGACTTTGAGGTGGAAAGAGTGATGCTTCTGGTGTTTCTTCTAAAGGAAAGAAGAGGGTGTTGGCAGCTGGAGTTAGTAATTGTTATTCTCAACCCAAAAGAAGTCTCCGATTCTCCGATTAAGACTTGCAGGCAAAGACCCACCGCCTTGTCCACCGCTTCTGCTCTTCATCTCCCCACTTCCACCGCTTCTCCTGCCGTTCGCCTCTTGACCCTGGGCCCACCTGCACGATCCACTCGACCTTCTCCACATCGATGCCCCGGGCGGCCACGTCCGTGGCCAACAAGATGGCGCCCTCCTCCGGCGGAGACTTGCAGAACTTCTCGTAGGCCCGAGCACGCGCGGTCGGATCCTCAGCTCCGGTTTCGGGGCCCGGGCCGGTCGCGGGGGGAAAATGGATTGCGAAGACCGGTGAAGGGCGAAGGAAAGGGGGTAGGAGCTGTTCCAGACTTGAATTTGGAGGACCACGGATTTCATCAACAAAAGAACAAGAACAAGATCAAAACTGGCTTAAAATCTGCATGTACAAGCGTGATCAGAGCCTTCACCCACCTGACCAAAACAAAGAGCCGCTCGTCGGTCAGCCGACGTCGACCACGCACTCGCCGCTCGTTGATCCAAGTCTCCATCTGCCCATGCAGCTTCTCGACGCGAATGCTCTCCATCTTCAACTTCTTTCCCTTTGCACGCTTCACCTGTGACACAAGCGAAGGCGAAACGACGTGAGTCAGGGAGGGAAGCGGTTGCTGTTCGGAGAGTCATGTCATGTTTTGTCTCCCTTAAGTTGAGGAAGTCAGGAAGATCGAAAAGCTCCGGCCATTCGCAAATCCAAACATATCATATCTGATTGGCTCTCTCCTGGGTGAAAATGCGGATTCTCCCACAGTCCAAGAATTTGGTGGAGATCCCTGCAGGGATTATAGTCTAATTCTACTCAGTACACTTGCGATGATACTTGGGCTGTTACGGGTCTGGGGAAAAGCAGGAAAACCCTGGAAAACCGCAATCACTCCAACCAGGCCAGTTCGCGTCGATGAGCTCCCTCAGCAGCACGTGAAAGTAGTCCACCGTGGCACAGGTGGAAAAGAAGACAATGCTCTTCCCGCCTGCTGAAGTAGGCAGGTTGATGAAGGGCAGAGTGCGACAATGTCGCTGAACAATCAGGAGAGATGCTCTGAGGGAGGGCTTTAATTAAGCTTGCGACTTCTACAAAGCCAAGCAACCCCACTTAGGGAGGAGACTCCCTCCATTCACCACAGGTGTGTTAAACGGTCTATCAAACACAGGTACGCCACAACGTGGCCCCGTGACTCGCCTGAGACTTCGGGTCTTTGAAGGAAATGTCTTAAGAACCCCAGCCGTTCCGTTGCCGGCAGCTGCAAGAAGTAGTTGCTCAACTTCGTCGGCAGCTCGTGACTCACAGCCTTCCTTATAGGGAGAGGACGGCACGCAGGGCAGACACGACGGCACGCAGGAAGCAGGCTGAATCGATCGAAGACACACCCTGGGCCTTAGTTCGGCTCCCTCGGAAAGCGTCTGTGCGAACCTGCTTTGGAATCTGCTTGTTTTCTCTGAGTTTGGAGGTGAAAGGTCGTCCCATAAAAAGAGCATTCAAACAGGGGTTTGTCAACTTCCATGTTTGTCGCAGGGAGGGCATTTGTTCATTCCAAAGCGCAAAGCCCGTCTATGTGCTTGTCAATGGCTATACGAAAGGGTTTGTCCTTCCCTCTGCTGAAGCACTTCCACATTCTGGCAAAAAAAGAAACGTAGACGCCCAGTTGAACTGAATCGTCTTGGGAAGCGCCGACCGAGCCCGTCAAGGTCTCGCACGGGGTTTCCAAGGTCTTGCGGTGCGTCCGAGCTGTGGGGTGATGCGTTCGCCTTCAAACCATATTCCAGAAGGTTGAAACCCGGACCTGCCCGGTCGGACCGTCCAAGCGTCGTCTTTTCTTCCGGCTCCTCACACGTGTGGGATCAGATTTGGGGAGTCGTGCTGCAACATGGTGGTTCATCAAGAGGGCCAAGGGATGCCAAGGGCCAAGGGGGGGGTCCAGGTGACATGTTCATGAAAAAGCCCGTTGCCACTGGACAAGAAATAAGTCCGCATGAAAGGGTGATCTCTCAAGAAACCTGTAGAAACCTGTAGAAACCTCTGGTTCGGCATTGGAAGCCCAATAGAAAATCCATCTCACGACCCGCTCCTCCACACTTCCATCCTTGATCGCTTCAGGTCCCTTCTTTCGGACCTTGAGGCCTTTCGCGTCTTCGGACTCGACAGGTCTCTTCAGACGCACGCAGACGTGCACAGGGTTTCTCATGCCAGCCTCAGTCCACCGGGGTGGCCCGGTGGGTTTGGACCATTGGCGAAAGCACCAATGTTCACTTGGTTCAGCGGGAAAGCAAGCTTAAATATACTTGGTCTGAAGATGTCTGAAGTCTGAAGGGTATCTTTTTCCCGGTTGCACATGCACTGCACCCACATGAAAGCGGAACACCTGCTCTGCATGTGAACCCTCCTTTTCCCCTCTTTCATTTTGGGCCACCTCAGACAGCCTTCATCCATCCACCATGCAGTCTGTATGCCTGTCCATCTTGTCCATCAAGGATGTTCAACGTATCATTTGCGGGGTCAAATCCCTGGAACGCGTTATACTTTCTGTGAGCGTTCTTGACATTTGTTGTTTTGAAAGCAAGCTTGTGTCTGGTCAAAAAGTTCCGAGCCATGGTCAAAGCAAGCCACCGAAGGTATGGGAGAATGACTTCATTCGGAAAGGCATGTTTGCAGCTTGGTATTGTCAACGGTCCACCCAACCCTGCCAACCGCAACTTTAAAGTCCCCAAGCTCACCCAGCATGCATCCCCCCAACAATCTGCAGAACAATGCCAAGCTCCACCCCATATGCCCTACATCCAACAAAACAATCCAACAAAACTTCCCACAACCACACTGCCATCACCCCCTGCAAATCCACTTCCCGCAACACCTCGAGGCCCCAAACCCTCCAAGCAAGCACCCTCAAAATCAACCCCCTCACCTTTCCGATCCAACGATGCCCTCCGGCCTTCATGATCCGCTGCAGCTCCGTCGTCAGCGTGGCGCTGAAGAGCCCGGTCCTCCGCTGCTTGGGCACCGCCGAGAGGATCGCCTGGACGTCCATGGCGAAGCCCAGCTGGAGCAAACGATCGGCCTGACCACGCGGCCAGAGCGAGACGGGTGGGCGCGACGTGGCGCGAAAGGCGCCGGGGTCAGGTCGGCCGAAAACGAGCGAACGACTTGGCTGCTGTCAAAGCCTTGGCTGCCAGAAAGTGGATTAAAATGAAAGAATGCGTTCGATCGAATGGAGAAAGCTTGCGAAGCCTCGAAATTTGGTTTGGCTGTTTGTGGAGCCTCTTTTTGTCAACCAGTTTGAGCCATGCCTAGCACTAACCTGAAGATGCCAATTCGCTCCTTTGTCAAACTCTCTCTCGCCTCATCAAAGACCAGCAGCTCTAAGCTCTTCCTGAGTCCAGCTCCGAGGACCATGTCAACGACGCGCGACCGGCCACCCCCAACCCTGCCGGGGCAAGTGGCTTGACCAGTTCGGAACCCGAAGGGTGGCAGCTTACATGGGTGAGGTCCCCAATGGTCATTTTGACCAAGAAGTTTAAGACTGAACCCACGATCCTCTCTCAAGGCATGTCTTCCCTCCCTATCCTCTCTTCCATCATCCCCTTCCCTCACCATTTCCCAGCGTCATGTTCAGCGGTGTGTCCGCCATCTGCAGCAACGCCCGCAGCCGGCCCGGCGTCGCCGCCACCAAGTGCAACGGCACCGGTGGCGCTTCGGCACCGCCGAGACGCCGTAGCGCCCCGGCGGCGGCCTTGGCGTCGGAGCCTCCCACGCAGAGCTGCGCGCGAAGCCTGCGGAAGAGGGGGAAACGATGGGAAACGCGTGGACCTTGGGGTGATGAAGTTGAAGGGAACCTGCTTGTGGAGCCCACCTTCTCTGCCTTTCCGTGGCAACCAGGGCTAGACTCTCTGTGTTGACATGTTTTCAGTTTTTCAATCTGGTGCGTGACTTCCATGAGTTCTCCCCGCCTTTCACAGGCCTCCATCTCCGCAGATTTCAGGTACTTCCCGAAGACCTGGTCGCAAACACACCAAGACCTGCTTGTTTGGAGGAGAACGAACGTCACCAACGGCTCGTTGAAAAGAAACCGTCGTGCTCGACACAGTGGGTCTATCTTTCACGCCCAAAGAAAGGCCCAACAGCAGTCAGCTGGACCTCGTAGATCTGTGTCGCCAGCTCTCGTGTGGGGGCGATGATGGCACATCCCACCATGAGCTGCAAGCTGCCGGGCCGTCGTGAGACGCCCTCCTCGAGTGATCGGCACAGAATCTCGAAGCTGGGAATCAGAAAGGCCAAGGTCTTCCCTGAACCTGTGCAGGCCTGGCAAGTGGAGAGTTTTACTCGGCAGGCGAGTTGTAGGTTCACATGATTCTACATGCACATGAGGGACCTAACGGGTAAACGAGTGAAAAAAAGTAAACCGGTGGGTGTGTCTGAAAGACGAGAAGCCCAAGACATGGGGGTTGGTGGCCTTCCATGTTCCTTTCTGCGAGCAGATTTCGAAGGGTTCTCACATCTTGAGAATATTCCGGTGTTGAGTTTAGCAGGAAAGTTGTTGATGAACCAAATCGCGACCCCAATGATATCCGTTTGGGAACAGAGAAGCCAGTACCAGGTACCATGCCTATTGATTTGTACACGACCGGGGTATCCCCTCTATTCATCAACCAACTATGAATCAACCCACCAAGAGTAAAAGGCCATCTATGCCCCAAACCCTGATTGACTTTTCCTCCACAAATTCCGGTCGGCCAAGTCATTGCACCACCTTCAAGAAGAACATGGTCGGATTTTTGATCGATCATCCAGAGGACAAAAAGGAGAACGGTGAAAAGGAACAACACATATCTATAAATGTGGTGCACAAAAATAGCAAAAAGAATGACACGCAACTTCCAGTCGCCAATCACAGAAAGCCTGACCTTCTTTTGACCTTCACATACCCAAGCCGCCCGCATTCGACCTGTCTCGCCCGCCACACGCAGCGACCGGCCAAAACAAGTCCGTCGAACCTCGACGGCCACGTCGCGTTGCTTCAGCAGCAGCGGGATGGCGATGGCTTGCACCGGCGTCATCCGTTTGAAGCCCATAGTCCCCACGAAGCGCTGCGTGCCCTGCCGCCAAGGCAGGAGCCCGAGGTCGAGGCCAACGTCCAAACCGCGCAGAAATGGGTTTGGGATGGGGAAGAACACAGGAACTTGGGGTGGTTCATTGGATGGTTTTGGGGGGGTTCGGAGAAGCACCGGGACCACTCCTCTATCAAAAGGCCAAGCTGAAGGAGTTGTGCGCTTTTGGAGGAGCTGGTGGAGTCAAGGTAGCGGCTTGGAGCCCGGTGGTTGATCCAAAAGCAAAAGCAAACAAGTCCATTGGTTGCACTGTTTGCGCTCCCCAGAAGTAATAGATAAAATTAGACATATGATGTCAATGTAATCAGGTAGCAAAACTCGTTTCTTCCAAAAGAACTGCAATTACCTGTGACAACTTACTATTGGGCGCCTTTGTTGTAGGCCCCATGGCCCTCATGTGACAGAGGCTCCAGCTTCCATCCTGACCCCTTAACATTCAAACAAATGCCACCTTCACCGTAAAACCCGTACTCTGCGACGTCTCTTCTCCAGCACCGACCGACATGTCAGTTTGCTTCGGTGATCGATGGATCTTCCATTCCATGCGTCGCCCCCTGAGGGTCACTTAGACGGTTCGCCCCCTGTTCACTTCGACGGTTCCAGTCGCCATGCGTCGCTCCATTGGCGCCTTTTGAAACACAGAGAGAGAGAGAGAGAGAGAGATTTTTCTTGCACAATCATACTGATGTGCTTTTGGACTGGAAGATGTTAGATGTTTGTAGATTCCCGTCTCCAGAAAGGCTTTTACATCTCCAGCTTTTGGCAAAACCTCCTACACCGTCTGAACTCACCAGCGGAATCTCCTCAGACACCGGCAGCGTGGACCAATCGCGTGAGGCCGCCATGGGCGTGGCAGGCCACGCCCCGAGCCACGAAGGACGCGCGGGGTGCACCGGTCTCTGGCAGGGTGTTGGGGGGGTCGGCTGGGAGGTCTCGCATGGGTGGTGGGGTCGTGTGGAGGCCCCAAAAGAACGGAGGCAATATGTGGTCCTTCTTGGGAGAAGTCACAAAAAGCTACTAGGAACAAGTGCCACGCTAGTAGTAACAAGTGCCTTACTAGTAGAAACAATAAAGCATCGCTTCTAGTAACAAGTGCCTTATGGGAGAAGTCGGGGCTGTAAAGGTTTAATGAAAGACCGAAGTTTCGCAGAGATTTACTGTGACGCAAGGGAAACTCATGGTCCTAGCATCTATTTCTTGGGTTTTCACATTTCATGGTAGGGACTACCACATCAAGAGTGCATGGCTATAGTGGCTATGGAGTCAATGGGTCAAAGCCCTTGGGCCAAGATCGGCGATGAACTCACCCTTGTCAGCTCAAGGAGCCAACAGGACCAACGCTTTACTCAAGCTCAAACCCGACTCAACAAACAACAGACTCTACTCACACACGCCTCACCAACACTTCACTTTCCCAAGCTGCCCCATGTCTACACTACACCACTGCTTCACGTCTGCAAGAGTCCACATCCCTCAAGTGAAGAGCTCGGCAGGACTGCCAAAACTCGGCGCCCCCCAATGACCAGCTCCTCCACCGGCTCTCCCGTGGACCAGCTGCCGAACGGCTCCAAATGACCCTTGGGCACGGCCTGGACGTGTCGGGTGCCCTTCTGGTCGACGGTTTTTCGGCGTTTTTTTCGGGTCAGAGCAAATAGGATAAGTGAGAATATATAGGGACCCCCCCTGCATGAGAGGTGAATGGAGATCACCAAGTACAGGGGAGAGTGAGGCTTTTCAGAGTAAGGCCTTTCAGAAAGGTTTGGGTTTGGGTTTCGTGTGATGTTCATCCCCAACTGAGACAATATGCCCGCCCCTCGACTTGCCCCATTCGCAGCGGATGTAGTAAGGATGTAGTAGGAGGCGAAAGGAATTTGCAAAAATAATAATAAAAGAAAAGAAAACGGACCTCCACTGCAACAGAGTTAAACTCTAAACCAAGGCTCGATGATAGCCATCAAGAAACAAATTAGGAGGAAGGAAGGCACAACCAAAAGAGTTCATGCCCCCCTTCTATATGTGATTGCGCTAGCAGAAACGACTAAAAAAGATGCTGCAGAGGCCCAAGAAACAGCAAGAAAACATGCAAAAACCATCCCGGAGTTCCCCCAAAAAAGAAGACCGATGTCCTCTTCCCAGCAGACGCTTTCCCCCCTAGCCCCAGCTCCCCCAACACTTGCCTCGGAGGCGAAAGAGGCCTCCAAGAAGGGCGAAGGACGAGGCTTCGGTGAAAGACGGACGTTCCGGGGTGGATTCCTTAAGTAAGGGCTTGTACTAGTAGCTAGTAGCTTCTTGCTTGAAAAACGACGGTTTTCAGGCGCACCACTTGCGGGTTTTCAGGGTAAGCCAGAGATCCTGATCTCCAGGAAAAATCCACACCCCCCAAAAAAAATATCTCAAACACTCCATGCAGCAGCAGGTGCTTTTTGATGAGTCCCCGGCCTCCAATAGCCAGGCGTAACGGACCAAAAGCGCCATGATCAGCGAGGGGGGTTGGGGTTGAAATGGATTGGAAAGACTGTCAGCTGCTTGGTTGAAAGATGGATGTCTGCCTTCAACTGAAGGAATGATCTAGAATAAGAGAAAGTACTGCAGTGAAATTCCTCGCGTTCAATTGGATAATGCTGCGTGATTCCAGCAGCTCGTGTATTCTCTGCTGGTGCAACAACTCTCATCTGCGGTAGGCTTTAGGGTGCTGTTGGGATAGTTTTTCACAAAAAAGGGCACGTGACATGCCGTGTTGAAGCTGTGGCCTGTGTGTACTTCATGCACCGCAAGCGCTGCGCGCCGCCGCGCTTCGCTGCGCTTCGCTTCCACTTCCGGCCATAGAGTCGATGAAGAACTGGGTGATCACTAGCTTCTTGCTCCGTTCGTAGTAAGGCCAGGAGCCCCTAATTAGTAGCGTCCGATCGCTCCCTTCGTAGCGATGCCAGGAGCCCCGAACGTAGCTTCTTGTGATCACAGTCTTCTTGAAGGTTGGACAACTTGGAGCGGTTACCACTTCCATGATCCGAATCCCATCAACTCCCCAATGTTCACCTCAAGAATTTGCAGCACTCCTTGGTCAGGTTTCACCGCGGGTGATTGTTTTTTCCAGGGAAAACTTGTTCAATCCAGCAAATTCCTCTTCAAGTCCGCAAACTCTTTTGACTCGCTCATCCCTGCTGATTGAAGGCGCCCACCTCAGCGATTGATGGGGAACTGGCGCCATGGATGAGGAACCTTTTTGATGACCTGAAGCTCTTTCGGAGCCTGTCAAGATCGGACATGTGGGTCCGATCTTAGGGAGTTGATTAGATTCTCATGAAGTTGCAGAAAAAGAAAAGAAGGAGACCATCGGCCATGGGCAGGTCTAAGGTCCAGGGTCCAGGATCTTCTCTAGTTGGGAAACTGATGTACCATCAATTTGAAGTGTCAGTGTCGGGGATGAGCCGACAGACACTCCTTCAAAATAGCTGGTGATGCCGCCGAACATGAGTCGAGACTCACCATGTCTTTCAACCCGTTAGCACCCAGCTGCACAAATCTCTTGACTAAACGGCCGACTTGAGCACTCCAATCTTGGCCGAACATCCCATAAGCCCTCTTCCAGAATGGTGTTTTCAAGTTTTACATCTCCAGGTTTGGGGGTTGCTGCTTATATTCATCCACAGTCTATTAATTCATGATCTGTATAACTTGCATGGCTCAAGAAATCTTACGACGCTCAATTGATTGGTACAGCAACCCTCTCTTCTTCACTCGCCTCTTTCTGGAACACGGCGATCCAACAAGACCGGAGCCGCCCTTGTTCTGTCGGAACCCGCAACGGTCGGTCCCCAGAGCTCTGAGCCTCGCGACGCTGGCTGCGACCCAACTGCCCAGGCGGCAATACGGCCACACGTGCTCCGCGTCCGCCGCGCGGCTCCTCGGTTTGGGCGGTGAGGGGAAGGAGTCCTTCCAGTTCGGAGAGCTTTTTGGCGTTGTCAGACGATGAGTGTTTCCATGGTTCTTACAGGTCTCTGACTCTCGAGAGTGTCTATTTCGGGAAAAGCATCATCATCATCATCATCATCATCATGATGATGATGATGATGATGATGATGATGATGATGATGCTGATGCTGATGCTGATGGTGATGGTGATGGTGATGGTGATGGTGATGGTGATGGTGATGGTGGTGGTGGTCATAATCTTTGGCCGCCAGATGTAGGACTGGAGAGTTGGCCTTTAGAGCTTAATGATGCATGCTTAGCCTTCAGGAAGCTCTCACTGTCCCGAGACTCTCGACATCTTAGAGATCGCTTCAGGTCGAAAACCGAGGACCAACAACGACGGGACCCACCGACCCCGGTGAATAAACGAAGGGCAAACATCTGAACGAAGGAGAAGGTTAGGGCATTTCAGGTTTCGATTGGATTCCTTCCACCAAAAGTCGAGCCCGCAAATCTAATGAACATGGGTCTGCCACTGTTTGACTCTTTGACGTTGGGGTAGAACATGAGGTGCAAGCAAAGGTAGCCTTGATGGCGCATGATCCTTGCACTGGGATTCCGAATCTGCATCCACTCTGTCCCATTGTATTCCATCGTTATACAGTACATCATATTATCGAAAAATAATTTGATATCGACCCTTTATACAGTTGTGCATTAGCCTTCGATGGTCCACATGAGGCATCCTGGGGCCATGTCTTTTTCTTCCACAAAAAAAAACCGTCCTTTGCTTCACCGTTTTCGCTTCTCCTCCTTGGGATCTGGTCTCCCAGACTGGAGCTGGCGCTGAGCTGGAAGCGGGTGTTGAGCATCAAATGTCCTGGCCGTCACCAACCTCCACCAACCTCTCGAAGCCACAAATCATCCTGGTTCACTAGCTTCCAGAAGTACCAAAAAATCAAGAAGTCTTCCGCAAAGAAAAGAAGTGATTAAATCCAAGCTCCGGTGCGCCAGGAAGTCTTCTTGAGCGGTGAAAAGTGCTGGTCTTGGGT